AACCAAGAAAGACTACACCTAGAACAGACTTTTGTATCCATCTCCATAATAAACTTCTGAGGTTCCAAATTTAAGGCTTCTGTGAATTGGAGGTAAGGATGAAGACTTGCCACCCTCTTTCCCAGAAAGAGACAGGCCGAAAGTGAGGCCCGCCCCAATCAAACCAAATGCAGAATTCAGGACTCTGCTCCCTAGACCTGGCCCACATTCAGCTGTTCGCCTGTGAACAGGTCCTCTGCGGAATCAACTCCAAAATAACATGAGGAATGACAAAAGAATTTACCGCAGAGGCTGGCTAACTAACAAGTCTTTGAACCACAAGCCCTTTGCTCATTGTCCCAAATGAACACGTGTTAACTACTTTGTACGACTGAAGCAATCCAACATCAGGATGCTGCCCCTGCAAGGATACGCTCACTTAATGGGAAGTCAGTGCCATTTTCACTTAGGCTACCATGTTCCACCCAAACTCTGAAAAAAAAAAAAAAGTCATTCCTAGTGTGATAATAATTACACTTATAAATGCCATCAGAGTAGGGCAGCCCTGGTGGAGCAGCAGTTTAGCGCTGCCTGCAGCCCGGGGTGTGATCCTGGAGACCTGGGATCGAGTCCCACATCAGGCTCCCTGCATGGAGCCTGCTTCTCCCTCTGCCTGTGTCTCTGCCTCTGTCTCTCTCTCTTGAATTAAAAAAAAAATGCCATCAGAGTAGATAATTCTTAACTCCTGAAGGAACCAAGTCAAGAAGTTGCTAAGGAAGCAGCTCAGCAATATGAAATCCTTTCCTTTGGTCTACTGAGGTCTGTTGACTATGGTGAAAGCAGGATTTTTAGAAAAGAAGATCATTTTCTGGGGATTCTTTTGAGAGAAGCAGCTAGATGGCTGAGGTTGGTGTGCCATAGTCTTCATTGTTTCAAACAACCATCTGGGTGTCCTTGAGTCGGTCACTTCATATCCAGAGTCTATGGTTCCTTCATTCATAAAATCAGGCATTTGAGCCAAGGTTTGTGCCAGCTATAAAATTCTATGATTCTCTAAGTAACAGTTTACTGCACCTCTGGCAACACGGCCTCAATAATCAGAATGATCCAATTAACACTCTGTAATGCAGGCTATTCTAGCTATAGTTTAAAAAAAAAAAAAAAAAAAAACAGATTGTTCCAGAGTGGAAGGCATTCAGATCATGAAACACGGCCACTTTGTTTTTCAAAACAAATGGAGAATCTGAGGTCCAAAGATGCTGAAAACCTATGTTAAATTGCAAGCTCATTAGCAGCAGAAGCAAGACGAAGGCTGCCTGACTAGTCCCATTTGCACTGAGCCGCACCGCTCCCCCGCCCACTTCGGCCCTGCCGTCTGCTCCAGAAGCTGCCTCGGCCCCTGCAGAATCCACACTGTGCCTTTTATGTGACTCATTAAACACAGCCTACATCACAGCTGTGCTTTACTGGCCTCGGGGTTATTAGTTTTCCAGACACCTAATCTAGGAGATGTTGGAAGAGTGACCTTACAGGTCTTCCTGAAAGCAGGCCAAGAAAAAATATTCAAAAAAGTCCTAAGAGATCTGTTGAAGACAGCAAACATCTCTCCTCTACCTGCTTGCTCCCCATTTTTATCCAATGAGGATTTTGTAGATAGGAGAATCCCTGGCAACCCACTCCCGATCCTATAACTTCAGAAACCAGACAGCAGCCTTGACAGCATAAGTTCTCTGTTGCTCTGGCTTCAGGTGGCTCTGCCAGCAGAACAAGGCCTCTGTGCAAATCTACAAGCGCCTCAGCTGGGTACATGCACCCCATGACAGTGCAGACGCTGCCCAGCAGCTACTCACACAGAGCAGCGCCTGTTTCTGGCCAGGACGGAATCTGTGGATCCCAGCAGCTGCTGAGTGTCACAGGGGTGACACCACACACCTGTCCCCACCACTCTCCAGATGTGGACTCTGCACAGCGACAGAGGGACAGCCCTGAAAACCCTTTAGGGTCAGCCTGGGAATTCCCATGCAGGGACCAATGTCACATGCCACTCAATGTGCTGCTGCATGTTCCAATACAAGACAATTTGTTCCAAAGAATATAATTTATGGACATGAAACCCTAAAGTACATGGGATAGGCCAACTTGTCAACTCTCTCGGGCATAATGCTGTCTGAGAGAGGCCAGACACATCTGGGTACATGCGATGTGACTCCATTCACGTAAAATTCAAAATAAAAAGCACAACTAGAATAGTGACAGAAGTCAGAAGGGTGATACTTCTTTGGTGGAGGTATATGGAGCTTCCTAGGAGTTGGACACGCTGTTTCCTGATCTGGATGGTGATTACACAGATATTTAAAAGTTCATCAAATTCCATACTTTATATGTGTATACTTTACTATATGCATGTTATACCTCCACAAAATATTAATTAAAAATCAATTTGAATTAATTAATTTAATTAATTATTGTGTGAGGTCCCTGATGAGAGTGAAGAATATGCTTCCTCCTTTCCTTCAGCATAAGGATATCTGAGATGCTCCGAAAAGGGTCTTTGCAAATCATGAGTCCTGACAATAGCTGGATCACATGCCTACATGCGCCAGGCCCTATGCAGAGAGCCTTAGATGAATGACCTCCTTTCATCCTTACAGCATTTCCTCGGGGTAGATGCCATCCACATCTCCATCTCACACAGGAAGCGTGAAGTGTGAAGCAAAGTAGCATGCCCAGAGTCACATAGGAAGTCAAGAGTCAGAAGCGGGATTCAAAACCCACGCAATCTGACTCCAGAGCCTGTGCCCCTAATTGGTCTTCACATTTCATTGTGTGCTGCAGGGCCAGGAGATTTTTCAAGCTGGGTAACGCTAGACTCATTTTCTTTTCCCTCTGCCCGAGAGGGTCCTGCCATTACAATGCAGGCTGCATGCTCGGCATTAAGAGGAAAAGAAGACCAAGGCCCAGGGTGATGGACTCTCTCTAGAAGAGTGTGTTCTAGAGTTCATTTAGGAGATACACCTAGTTTGGTACAAAGGCCTGTGTCTTCTGTTTCCTTTGCCTTTGCCAGCAGAAAGCAGGCCCTGTTGCTGACTTGTTATCATCTGACCTTAAGAGAAACACACAATAGGGAGGATACAGAATGTTTCCAGGTGCTATTCACTGGGGCTTTTTGGAACACCGTGTTTCAGGGCAAAATTTCCACAGAATGCCACACACTTTGATGATCTGCTTTAGGCCTTTTGAAAAGGCTGAAGGGGCTTATTTTCCTCTTTTTCTAGCTTGTATATTGTTATTATATTAAATATAAATACAACGTGTCCTTAGGACCTGGAGAAGGCATTAACCACTCTTTAATTAAACAGTACATAGCTCATGATTTTCCAGACACCCTCTTTTATCCTCTACTGCCCTCTCAATTAGCTCCCTGAAGTTCTCACACCAAAACCTGCTGGATCATTGATCTCTCAATTAAAAGCAGCCATAAATTACAGGCCCCATAAAAATCCACTGAGGAGAAGGATAGAAACCAACTTAATGATAGCTTAGACCCCACTAGCAGCTGGGTCCCAATACCCATCCGAAGTATAACTGGGCTTGGTTACATTAACGTGGGATTGCCCCCCTTCTGCTTCCCACAACAACAATTCACACACACGCTCATCAAGATACTTGAAAAACTAATTGCACCTTGAAAAGTTTTATTAAAAATTGGTCTCCTCTCACCACTGCCCCTGAGCACCTGGGTAGCTCCCTGCACACAGCTGGGACCCTGTGTTCATAGCCTGCCCCTCACCCCAACCCCAGGTGCAGAGCCAAATGTCCCAAGTGCAGACTGCTCAGCAGCGGCCTGGAGGATGGAAAGAATGGGGCCTCCCCCAAGTTGGGATGCAGGGTGCTGGGGACAGACCACCATTCCTGCCACCCTCTGCACCCGACTCAGCCTCCCTCACCAGGCTGGTAACTCTCACCTCATCTCCAGTGCTCCGCCTGCCCAGCTTGCCCACAGCCAGGCCCGTACCCTATTATCACATCTCACACCTGCCCACATGCCAGAGCAACCAACCCAGAGCTGCCACTCCTGAGAAGCACCTTCCACTCCCTAACTAGCCTATTGCAATCAGGCCTTGACCACACAGAAGAGTACTCTCGGTCACTGGCCCACCTTGCTCTACACCATCATGTTCCCTGAGGAGACATTCTCACCCCATTCTGCATCTGCACCTGGCCCTGTAGGTGCCAAGCTCTGCCAGGACCACCCAAGTCCTCCATCCCCTCACTGCCCATACGTCCATCCTCATAAGTCCCACCCTACTGCCTCATGAATTCAGGCCTCACCTGCTAGAAACCTCTGCATTTGGCAGAGTGGACATGCTTTGCTTCAAACAAGTTGTGAGTAATTTCAGACACATACAACCCTTCATGCAGTTAAGGCATCAACATGAGCTGGAGTGGAAGGGAAGCAGTCCCACGGGCCCAGCTTCCATGCCTCAGCCAAGCACAGCCTTGTTCTCCGGTGAGCTGCCATGAGCTTCCAGTGTGTCACACACACACACGCACACACACACACACACACAGAAGCACACCTACCTTGTTCCTTTCTGCAAAGTGGACAAAAAAAAAAAATCCATTTGGCACTGGTGAAAGAAATGAAGCAAACGCCAGGAGGGCAAAGAAAGGAAGGCTTATTCAGAAAACAATAGTCCTGTATGATTTCAGATAATAAATAAATTTGGTGATCACTAAAATGAATGAATCCATCATAGATTTCCAATAAAAATAAGAATAAGAAAAAGTGATTCAAGCTGACATCCCAACCAGAGCAAGAACCACACATTGTATAGGAAATTGTATGCAGGCATGGGCAGCCCAGAGATCTGGGATCCTTCCAGAGAGTCAATGGCTTATTGTACTAGTTGTGCCAAGGAGGGAAAAACATAATTATTTTGAAATTATTTTTGAGAAACTGTTTCCTGCCCACTGGCAAATGGCAAAGCCAAAAGTAGGCTCTTTTAGGAGGTTCTTACCTGATCATCATAGCGGTAGGTGAGGAACTGTTCACCCGTTGTGTCTTCAAGAAAACTTCCCTGGGGGGAGAGTGCAAACTCAGGAAGGAAGTAGGCTCCAGGGGACTTCTCTGCTGTGGTCTGAAAGGTAAAGTCACCGGGTTACAAATAAGGCCCCATGAGGACCCCCTGGCAGGCAGTCCTTATGGCAGGGCGATTCCCAGGGCATCGCCCTGCTGAAGGCTGTACCAAGAAGGGAAGTGACCTTGCTCAAGGCCAAGGTGAGATGGGTCTGCGTGAGGCCCTGCTAGGCTAGGACATCCTGCTGGTCCCCCTCAAACTGGTATGCACAGTATGTGCACCCTGACACCTACCCCCTTCCACTCCCCATTCCCACAACCATCCCTGAGATTCAGCTATAGGACAGTTAACTTAAGTGCTATTGTTGCAAATCCATTGCTTCCAGACTTTCTTTTCCTTCCTTCCTCCCTTCCTCCCTTTTCACTCCTTCCTTCTTTCCTTTCTTCCTTCCTGCTTTGTTTGGTGAATGAGTAAGAAAAAAGCTTTTTTCCACACTACCAAAGAAACGTACATTCACCATGGAAACCTTTGAAGATCCAGATGAACACAAAAGAAAATAAAAAGTACCCCATAATCCCTTCAACCTCTAATAACCACTTTTAATTGTTTTGGCATATTTCCTTTGAGAATTTTTTTCTCATAATGCTTTGGATGTTTATAGAAAAAAATCCAAGATGAAATACACATGGCTTTTACAGAAAGGCTCCATTTGGTTCACGGAAAGCTCAAGCACTGGCATCTGAGTCATTAGACTAAGCACCCGTTGTCAGGGTTGAGGGGGGTCAGGGAGAAGAATCATCTCCTGGAGACTATGGGTGGGTCCAACAGCCCAGGGGACTTGCTGCCATCACTTGCCATCACCTGCATCACCTGCCGTCACCTGCAGCCTGGAAGAGCCCATCCAGGAAAAGTTGGAGCATGAAGAGGGCTTACCAGGATCACTGCCTTGACTGGTTGACAAGGAAGAAAGAGATAAAGGAGATGGAGCACCCCCCTCACCCCCCCCGAGTGCAGACCCATCTGGTCCAGGAACACAGATCAACGACTCTACCATCAAAAGGGTACCTCACTCCCCCTGCTTGAGAAGAAGTAAGAATCAAAGAAAGAGGCCACAGGTGCTACTCTGAGGAAAACACTCTGCAAATGGAAAGAGTGAGGAGTAAAAGTACCCCTCAAATATCTCTGCTCACCCAATGGTCACCTTTTAAAACCTCAGCAGGAACTTCAGTTCAAGCAAAACACCCATTCGAACACTGCACTTTAAAAAGTAAAATTGGTATGTGATAGCTTTGGGAAGGCACAGAGAACAGATAACTCTGTTTTGGATGGCACTAGATTGTTCCAAAAACTTCAGAAGTTTTTATTAAATTTCATCCACACAACGGTTTCTGCACCCTGTGAACGACAGGAATCTTCCCAGAGCTACACAGCCCACATCTCCCTTGCCAGCCCTCTGAGTGGCTTGCGTGAGTCCAGGTTACTCCGATCCGCAGTAAGGAAAACAGGGCAATCCCCTGCAAATGTTCTGCATGGTAAGCAGCAAAGTCTCCCTTGACACAGGCCTGTCATCTCAGTGTTCAGACCAGCACCATGTTCTACGCAGGTTTTCTCTATTATGCCACCTTCTATGGGGGGAAGCTTGCTCCAGAAATCACTGGGGTCACCTGCAGCCCGCAGCAGTGCCAGGGTGTCAAGACTCTGGCAGGGAAGTCTGTCTAGGCCCCACCAGAGGCACAGAATGAATCTATCCCACCTGGCCAGTCAGTGCTCTGATGATTGCTGGAGATTATTGCTAAGTGGTCCAGGAAGGAAAGGAAGAGAGGCTAATACTGCAGACCCCACAGAGACAACGTGGCTCTCACACGTTGTGGTGCTGTTTTATATATCTCAACATGCAACCCCAGAAAAAGCAAAAAAATCTCTCCAGGACTCCTGTTTTCGCTTTTTGGTAGTTATTAGCATAGGGGGGAAATATCACAGACTCTAGGCTTGACTGTAGCTATCGCTGATTGCCTTCTGCTTTCTGACCTGCTTTTCCAATCTTAAAATTTTATCAGGCTTAAAAAAAAAAAGTGAGACAGGAATAAAAATGTCCATGTGAAAATAGGAGGTGAATTTAACAATAAAACTTCTTACTTCTGTGTATATTTTCCTAGCAAGTTTGAGTATGTGTCAAAGTCCAATTATTCTCACCAAAGAGAAATACATGTAGGTAAACCTCAGGGGAAATTCTACATGACTGCAAGACAATTTTTTTCATCGTTTTTTAAAAGATTTTATCCATTTATTCATAAGAGACAGAGAGAGAGAGAGAGAGAGGCAGAGACAAAGGCAGAGGGAGAAGCAGGCTCCCCACAGGGAGCCCGATGCAGGACTCAATCCCAGGATCCCAGGATCACGACCTGAGCAGAAGGCAGATGCTCAACCATTGAGCCACCCAGATGTCCCTGGATTTCATCTTAAGACAGTTCATATAAACTGGTTACCAACATGCCTAGCAAATAATCCGTAAAATGTACTTGCTATAGTTGTGATTTGCCTCTGTTGCATTTAGAATTCATAGAATCATAATTTTAAATGCCTACAGAGATTTGTCATGTACCACAGAGCCAAAGCCAGGCCTGGAGTCCATGAGCGGCTATGTGCAAAGACACAGCTCCCATTTCCAAAGAGTGGGTGCTGGAAGCAGCCCAGGGTCATCATCTAAAGATAGCTCCCTGAATGAAGGGGGCCTTCTAATACAATGCTTTATATTTAGCTGACCACATGTTCCACATGTATTTACTGAGCACCTACTACATGCCTGGAACCATTCTAAGAGCTATGGCTACAATGAGGAACAAGAAAGATAAGGTCCTTATTTTTATGGAGGTTTCATTCTAATGAAAAGAGACAGATAATAAGTAAACAAATTTGTAAACAAGACAAAGCTCTAAGTACCATAAAGGAAATAAGTAGGGTGATATGCAGATAAAGTTGAGTCTTCAGAAAGAAAGGGGGTGAGTGAGGCTGATCCAGGATGGACAAGGAAGAGAGCAGCAGGAAAGGGAAAGAAAGAAGAATGGAAGAGGCAGGATGTGTAGAGCACTGCAGGCCCAGGCAAGGGGTTAGAGAACCACCAGGAGTATCTAAAATACTGACCACATCATGGAGGCTGGGTTAGAAGGTGGCAAGAATGGAACCACAGAGACCAGTTGGAGGGCTGTTGTACTAACCCAGGTGAGAAGGGGTGATTCCTTGGACAAGGATGATGGTGGTAGAGAAGGGGAGAGCTGGATGGACAAGAAGTAGAACATTCAACACTTGCTGATGGGAGAGAAGAAGGGAGAATCAAGGATAATTTCTGGGGTTTTGGCTTGAGCAACAGGTTATAACAAAATGCAAGGGATGCCCAGCCCTGGTAGGATGAGAGGGACAAAGAGGTGATAGTTCTGTTCAAGTCACGTGAAGTTTGAGATGCCTATGAGACATCCATATGGAGAGCTTGAGTTGGGTGTTGAATACACAAGTCTGGAGCCCAGAAGGGTCGCCTAAGGCTGAAGACAGAGATTTGGAAGTCATCACTGACATTTTCTTACATACATACACTCATGTATTCATAGTCATCCTACCTGAAAAGACCCGCCCTGGAGAAAGAGTTTGGCAGATAAGAGGGTTTTGTCTGGGGCCCCTGATAATTCTAATGTCTGAAGGTGAGTAGAGAAGGAGCAAGCCAAAGAGGTGAAAACTGGTAATCATTTAGAGAAGAATGAAGAGAGAAAAAAAAAAGAAATATTGAGTCATGGAAGCATTCAGCATCAAAGAGAGTGGCCAACTACCTTGAATGTCCCTGAGAGATTGAATAAGATGAGGCTGGAGGAGGGTCCCCTGGGTGTGCCAACAGGAGGTCATTGTTGACCTTGACAAGAGTAGGTACAGGGGAGGAGCAGGGACCACGGGAATGGGCTTGGGAACTGGACAGAAGAAGAGGAAGAAAAGGTAAGCTAGAGGGAAGGTGGAAGTATGGGCAGAATTTTTAAAGATTGGAGGAACAAGAGCTTGTGTGCTTGGTTATGGGAATCATCTAGTGGTAAGAGAGACCATGGAGGTGACAAGAGAGAGAACTGCAAGAGTGGGGCTCTTAAGAAGACAGAGGAATGGGTTCAAACTGAATGGAGAGTATGGCTTTCATAAAGATGAGAGCCCTTGGTCCATGTAGGTCTCCACCATGCTACACCCTCCGACTTCGATCCTCCATCCATCTTCCTTATGCTTATTCCTGGGACATCCTTCTACTGAGTCCCAAGGTCACCCACCCATGTCTATCACTCCACTTCCCATCTCCAAGCTGGCTTTCCTTCCCAGGCCCCTCTGCAGCTGCCCTACAGATGAAAGAGCCTGTGCCCACATTTCCCCCCAAACAGCCGCTTTCCATGGTATGGTGGGATGTCCTGAGCCTGGTGTACATTCAATCCTCCAAAGGTTCCTTTAGTAACACCACAACACTTCTCTGCAATCAAGGTATTCTGACTGTTTCCATACTATTAAAAACAGCTACAAACATTTAGCTCCAATGAGCTTTCTTTGCTCTGCTTAAATTCAGGTTGGGTAAAATGAGGAATGTTCGCCCTACATTTTATTCCTACCCCAGGCTTCTGCCCCTCCTCCCAGGCCCACTGAGGTGTTGCATTTTGTTCCCCAAGGCAGAGTTGAGTGACTCTATCACATCTCCCATTCCCCACAGCAGGTGTGTGGGCAGAAAGGAGGAAGGACAGGTGGGCTGCAGGACCTGAGCTACCCAGGACAGGGTGCTTCCTCCAGAGAGCAACCCCAGTTCCACCTGCAGGAGTTCAAGGTTATTAGTCCCTGGGCTACCATAGATTCTCTCCACACTCACATCTCACTCCCTGACACTACTGAAAAATAATGCAGATTTTATACTCATCTCTTTTTATCAAAATCTTTACTCCTGAGTAAATATCTGATCATTAAAGACTTGCTTCTAAAGCTCTGGTGCAATCCAAGTCCTTTCCCTCCATAGCAGCAAGGGTGAACCAAGGTCATGTTGCCCGACTATGGCT